TCGGCAGTTGGAAGATATTTAACTGTGAAAGGACAACCCATTAAACTAAGGCAAAAAAATAGGAGTTGTTTCATAATGTAAAAACTATTAGTAACATGATTTTACATACATATAGTTGAAGGATCACATAAAGCATTGATATTTTTGAATAAAACAAAAAAGAAGACGACGAAAACAATTCCAGCCATCGAGACATTGTTGAAATTAGCCATTCTCTCCTCTTCATTTTCTTTTCAAATTAGCCTCTTGCCTTCTGTTCTCGAGCCATCTGACAGAGTCCACAGAAAGGACAGCAGGTCATAATCACCCAGTCATCACAGACAGAGCCCTAAAGAAGACACAAGCCAATCATGCAGTGCTAGTCTCTGACAGTTATGAAATAATGTATTTCAGCAGAAATTACAACGCTACATCAAGAGCAGAAATAAGCAATAATCAATATGGAAAAGGATTTTTATTGCATGGCCTACATTAATACGATATCTGTCACGGATGCTGGTTCTCAATGCAATCATAGCACCGGGTAGGAAGGGCAAACAGCAGCTGTCACCATTATCCTGTGCCACCTTACAACCCAAAATGCAAGGAATAAATGCCCCACACAGACCTGAGGAGTAAACCAGTGTCAAAATTCACACTATTTTACAATGTAAGGCTTGTAAGTTTCAACAAATTGATTAAAGGGATAGTTCATTAGAATTTACTCACCCTCATGTCATTCCAAACCTGTATGGTGAACTACCCCTTTAACAACTTACTCAACTTATAATCACTATTAGTATTGCATTAGCTTAAGCAAAATGGATTTGCATTAATAAATAAATCTCCCTCCCTACACACACTCACAGATTCCGCAGTCGTCACAACAGTCACAGACATCAGAGCTCCAGTGTGAGACAGTGTAGCTGGTTACAGTCATTTGAGGCTGGGAAGTCATTGCTTCTGTTTGATATGACATTACTGACAAAAGACACGTAGCAAATGGTATAATACAATAATTTGCAATTACAACTTACACTTTTACATTGTTTCTAAAAATACAGTAATATTGTCTTGCTGCGAATATAAAAATGCATTTTTCATTTGATGGCTATTATATCAAACAGAGATA